CTTTAAATATCTCTTTCCTACTTCAGCTATATGACCTTCATTTTATGAAAATCAGAGTGGTTTCTATGGCCAGAATCTTGCTGTGTATTATACCCTAATTTGACTTTGTATCCAGTGTCACTGTGCATTATACAGTTAGGGATATGGGTTATGGAACATTATTCTGGATTCCTGAGGGTCACTCTAACTGCAGAATCTGGCTTTTTAGTTTTAATCAGCTCTTCTTTCCCATTACAGGTTGCGTGATGATCCACAGTCTGTTTTGGTTATAGAAGATCCAGAGATGATCAAAACAGTGATGGTTTGTTTTCATAAATCAGCTGTAAGCATTCATTTTTTAAAATGAGATTTTTTATTAAATTTCTTTCTTAAAATGATTATACTTTCATAGAGAATTGCTAAAAAAATATACAGAGAGGTTTCATATACTATTCTCCTACATTCTAGCAGTTATATTTTATGAGCACATTGCTTATCTATGAATATAGTCTAGTCCTCTTATTATAGTAATGAGAAATTGTCATTGATACAATTCACAGAACGTATTTAGATTTCAGCAATTTTTTTTTTTTTTGCGTGCCTCATGCGTGTGTGCCTATGTATGTCTGCAAATTTGCTACTGTGGATAGATTCATGTAACTATCATCTTAGTCCAGACAAATTGTTTCCCAAGGCTCTGTCTTACTAGTCTTTTATAGTCCTTATGTGTATCTTGTCTTTTTCCTCTTAACCGGGTCTTCATAAAAGCAAATATGGTTTCATTTGGAGGAGACTAATATATTAACATTTCTTTGTCGTTTAGGCATAATATCAGAAAATTCTTTACTTCTGTCTTCTGTTTTTCTTGTTTCTCTTCTAAAAGTTGTAATTTTATGTTTTGCATTTGAATCTATGATCTATGTCACATTCATTGTTAAACAAGATGAGGTTTGGTTTTGTTGTCTCTTTTTGTTGACCTGTGTCTGTCCAGTTTCTCCAGCGCCATCTTTAGAAAGACTGTCTTTGCAGCACTTCCAAGCTCATTCTCTGAAGCCAATATCACCCTGATCCCAAAACCAGGCAAAGACACCAATATTTCCAATGAACTTAGATGCAAAAATTCTCAATAAAATACTGGCAAATTGAATACAAAAACATGTCAAAAAGATTGTGCTGTAAATGATTTACAGTAGAAGGGGTAGAGAGAGAAAAGGGGAGGGGAGGGGAAGGGAGACGGGATAGTAGAAAATAGGACTGACAGCAGAATACATCAGACACTAGAAAAGCAATATGTCAATCAATGGAAGGGTAACTGATGTGATACAGCAATCTGTATACGGG